AAGATAGAGGCAGAGTGGAGTAACTCGGTATCAAGGCAAGTAGTTTTACTTCTTTCAGTAAGTTGTAAGGAAACTATTGTATTGCATCTAGATTCAACAATTTTAATTATAGTAATGTGATTATAATAATCGGTGCAGAACACTGAGTTATATTAAGTGTGTGTCACAGAAAGTAATGCTATAAGAACCCTTATAGCCAAGCATTTATTGGCAGATGCCAATAATCTCAGCACTCTGGAGACGGATTTAAGAGGGTCAGGAGTTTGAAGTCAGTCTGAGCTACACAGGACAGCCTTGTTTCATTAAAAAAAATAAAAAACAAAACAAAACAACAACCTACTGCCAACAACAAAACAGATACCTATGACTTCTAGGAAGGTATTCCAACTACCTCTTAGACTTCATTTTCACAGGTTTGTGATAAGTAGTAAACTCATCCTACCTTTGGATTCCAGAATTCTGCCTGCCCGTGCACATCATTCTCACTCTCTTTGACTTTTTCCCTCTATCACAGAACTCTCATCTTGTAAGTGAAGGGATAACTCAGTTCTGTTCTAAGACCTCTCAGCTATCTGAAGTGACTCCTTCAGTTAATTGACATTAAACTCAGTCTCATTGACTGATGCCTCCCATAGAGTGTTTTAGTCCATTACTCTTTCTTGAACTTCAGATTGTTTATTACTGATTCTTGACATCTTTACTTGATTCTTTAATATATAACTTAGAGCATTCTCAAACTGAGTTCTTGATGTCCTTATATATCAGCGTTTCCCACTCACTTCCCTACTCCTTCGGATAACAGAATCTCCATTACCCCAGGACCTCAAGCCACAAACTCTGGCATAATCTTTACTCCTATTTTTGCTTCTGTACCCTTTATCCAACATTTTAGTAAAGATTTTTGGCTGCATCTATTTGTTCACACTGCATGTACACATGTATGTATGTATGTATGTATATACACACATGCCACTTGATTGGGCATCATTATTTCCACAGGTCTCCTCACCCCTCAGTAATCAAGGACACCCTAATCGCTGGTATGAATTCCTGTTTGGGTCCTCTAGCTGCTTCTGAGTTCCTGCCACTGCTGCATTCCAGCAATAAGAAAGATCATATAATGCACCATGTAACTTCTGTATTAAAAATTTCTTGATGATTGATTTCCTTTTTACTGCTAGTAAAGGCTGATGTTCTTACAATATTTGTAGAACCCTGAATACTCTGTTCTACGCAGCTGTTGCAATGTCATCCCGCTCTGTTTCTCTCTCATTGACTCTTACTCTGACTCCTACCCAAGGCGAACAGTGTCACTGCTGATCTCAGAACCTGTTCTGTAGCTCGGGATCCATTGCATTTCCTGTTCTCGCTCCTTAGACCATCAGCTGCCACGCGCGCGCATTGCTCTTCTATGTCTTCACTCAGCGGGTCTTGGCAGTTTTTCTCTGCTGAAAATGACTTTCAAAGCCCTCGGAGACTGCCTAAAATCCTGCATGAGGTATATTTCCTGTATCACTAGCGTGGTTTGTTGAACTTTATGTTACTTGTAATCTGTAATTTATCTTCTTTGGTATATTATTTGGGCAAACGGCCTGGTTTCCATTAAAAATGAAGAAATGAAAAGAGCAAATCATGTGGGAGGCTGGAACATACTGCCTTTGGAGTCAGGCGGTCTGGATTGCTATCAGAGTTATTCTACTGGGCGACTGATGAAGACTCATGCCGCTTGCTCCAATTATTTATTCTACTGCTTCGCTTACCCATCTTTAGGGTAGGAGGGCTAATTGTCCTTATATCACTGGATTGCCATGGACATGGCATTTTATAAGGCTGCAAAGCAGTGGCTATGCTTACTGGGTAGTGTATAGATACTGCATGCAGGGTCAGGGCTTTTACTTACCAATAGTGGTGCCCTGAGAATGACCAACATAGTGCAACTTCTCTTGTCCAGTCTTCTCTACAATGAAATCTATTGTGGCTGGAAGGTCATATTTAGCCATTTCATCGAAGCTGCAAGAATAAAGTAAATCAGACAAAAGTATAGTTTCTAAAACTCAAGAATCCTCCCTTTAGCTACATTGTTAGTTTTATTTGAAAAAAGCATTTTTAGGCATCTCTTGATCTTGGGTATGGAGATACTAACAAGCTTGAAGTAAAATTATCCTTGGAATAAGGTATATAGAAGACTCAAATGTTGGATTAGAATGATATGGCTTCTTTTACCTCCTACCTGGAGTATACTTGACTTTGATGGGAAAGCAAGAATGCCCATGCTTGGAGAGCCAAAATAATGCCTGTTTTAAATTATTATCTTTCTTTACCTGAAAGCCCAGAATTCAACTGAGTCTGGTGAATAGTACAAATTTTTCCTGGACCATGTATTCCCTCGGCTGTTCCCCAGCCACACATCATAACCAGCGTCTGCCAAAATGAAGGCCAGGCTGTTGTTTGGCAGATTTGCAATCCAGTTTGTGGCAGATGCGAGCAAACCATGCTGCAAAAACACCACAGGTCTCTTGCCTAGGGAAGAAGATTATTCAAACATTATAAACTTATTCCTTATAGTAGGTACACATGTGGTCAGAATTAAGTATGTTCATTTTGTTGAGGTTGCATTTGGCATCTTAAATGTCTTTTCTCAAGGGTGTTTTGTGTGCCAACATTGAACAAATTGTACATTTATTATTTTTATGTATTTGTGTAAGTCTGTGTGAGTTTATGTGTGCCACATGTTTGCAGGAGTCTTTAGTGGCTAGAAAATGGCATCTGATCTTCTGGAACTGCAATTATAGACAGTTGTGAACAGCCAACATGTGGGTACTGAGAACTGAACCCAAGTTCAAGCAAGAACAACGAAGGCTATTAACCACTGAGAATCTCTCTGGCACATAATTTTTATTATTATTTATTGCATTTGTATTTATCAACACAGGATTTTGTATATGCTAGGCAAATGTACCATTGAGCTATATCCTCATCTTAATTTGTACATATGTATATGCATTTACTGCATATGCCAGTTATATGTAAATAAAGATATTAAAATGATAGTCTAAAGGAATTAGGCATTGTTTATATGTAGGTTAAGAGTAATAAAGTTATTACTCTGTAATAAATAAAGTTATTTATTCTTACTCTGTAAGAAAAATAAAGTTATTTTCTGTAATGAGAAAAAAGATAAAAATTTAATAATATCATCAAAATAAAATGTCTTTTATCTGTTTAGGAAATATACCTCTAGCTGCCCCTGAACCTTCCCCTCTACAAGACAAGCTGGTTAACTTTTACATGCACTGGGATTCAGCTCAGTTACTGTGTTGAGAGAAATTGTCCCTGATTTCTTTAGCTGGGTTAGAGGGCTTAAATAGTTTGCATGTAGCAACAGGACTGCATTTTTTATCATGATAACTTTCTCATTCCTTTGTCTCAATTGACTTGGTTGCTCTCTATTAAAGATTAGAAATATAACTTTGTGTTATATTTGCATTTCCATAGTGATCTAGACTTTTTTCATCCTTAAGAAGGAAGTGAAGGTGGAAAAAAGGATGAACGGTATATGGAGAGGTGGAGGAAGAAAAGGGGAGAAAGCAAAAAAGAAGAGAGAAGCAATGAAGGAAAGAAAGGAGTTTATACCTAAATTCTCTGAATTTTTCTTCCCATAAGGAATTCTGAAGACCCCCAGAATGTAGCCATCTTCAGTAACAACTTCATATTCTTCACTAGGATATCCCCAGTAATTTATCATCTGACTCTAAGGAAAATTAAAAAAAAAACTTTTATGTTCTAATTAATTTAAAATGAATTTTAATTTCACTAGAAATTTAGACCATTCATGACTCTAATCCCAGTAATATCCCTCAATAACTCACAATATTCATGTCTGCTTCTGGGCTTTCAGGAGCCAGTTTTCCAAATAAGCCATGTGCACCTCCAAACGTAAATATCACACTTGCTGCTGTCAACAGTGGCCACATCTTGGACTGTCCTGAAACAAAAGGACAAACTATATTGTGGTTAATCCATTGCACTCCATAACATTAAGAGATTAAGAGTTTGTGATGATTTTACCTCCAAGAGAAGTATAGGTATGACTGTGTTTGGTTATACTTGTTGAGCGAAAACTCGGGTAATAAGGATATAGGCAAATCTTCTTAATACATAGCATATTTTCCACTGTGATTATTTCTTCTCTCTCTCTCCCTCCCTCCTTCCCTCTCTCCGTGTGTGTGTGTGTGTGTGTGTGTGTGTTTCCAAATGGGTATACGTAGAGGGGCAGAGAACAACTTGGCTGTTTTCCTCAGGACTGAGGGGCTCTCAGTGGGTTGGTGTTTGCTGAATAGACCGGGAAATTGGTCAGAGAGTCCCAGGGATGCTCCTGTCTCAGTTCCTCATCCCTGGAATTACCAGGATGCATCACCATGTCCAGTTGTTTCACTGGGTTTGGGGTAGAACTCAGGTCCTTAGCCATGCATGCCAAGTACTTCACCAATTGAGCAATCTACTCAGTCCTGATACTTTTTCTTTAAAAACATTTCCAACTCAGGAATTTTTACCAGTAAAAAATCCTCCCTCTATTCAGGGAAGCATAGTTTTATTATTCTGTATGTTTAAGACTTCAGCCAAATTTGCTTTTTGAGCACTGAGTGGGACTAAAGTGGGCATTTGATGACTTTATAGCAATTTTAACATAATGTGTATTCAAAGTTATCATTATGGGGTCAAAGGTATGACTTAGTGGATGAAAGTACTCGCCATGCAAGCCTGATGACCTGTAATTTGACCCCTGGAATCCATTCCCAAAAGCTGTCCTCTGACATCCACATGTGCTCTGTACAGTCACACACACACTGGAATAAATAAAATAATCATTGTACTAAAATAATTACTAGTAGCCACGTCATTACTATTGACTGATTTGAAAACACTATGTGAATTTGAAAGATGACATCACCATCTCAAAATGATGTCACAATTAGAATAATGCATTGGGTATAATTCTAGGAAAGCACACCTCTTTCTACTGAGATTATATCTGAATATCTAAAGAGATTATCTCTTTGAAATTACTTAGGTAAGACAGATTATAATTCAGCAGTGTTTTATATGACCTTTTCCAGAAGTATTTAACAGCAAAAAACACATTTGCTACCATTACGTGTTTTTTAAAGAAAGGACTTTACTATTTGTATCCTCTCATATTTAAGCATGAGACTAAAAACCTGTGTTTTAGAAAGCAATGACTTTGAAATGTCTGCATCCATGCTACTACCTATACCGTTGACCTTTCATATAGCTTGTTTTCAAAGTTGTTATCTTTTATGTAGTTATAAAGCAATGTAGGCTGATAGTAAATGAATGAAAATTTTAGATTGTAAATAGTCAAATTGATGAGTCTATCTTACTATATCTAATCACTCATAAAACTTGAATAGGTTCTAGTTCCTTGTGTTTTTATTTTGATTAATATTTCAAAGAATAAACTTTGATTTTGGAAAGGAACATTATGACAAGCTCATTTGGATCATGTGATTGCAATTACCACTTACCCTTCAGTATGCATGGTACTTGGCATCAGACTCAGACCATCTAAGTTTACTTGGCTTTTGTAAGCACTAACTATGAATTTTAGAATATTCACATAATAAGCTTAAGAAAAAATATAAGTGAGAAGTGATATTTTTCTCAAGTTTGATGAGATGCTATGTGGAAGCTGGTTTTAAATAAAGATCTTTTTAGTATGTCTGAAATCATTCAGGGTTTTTCTTGTGAATACTGTATACTAGAACAAATTTGGAGATCATATATAAAAAGATTTTGTGTACAGTGAAAAATTTATAAAATTTGGTTTATTTCTTTATATGTTGTTCTTTGAAAGAGGATTAGTTCTCTGTTGTGGGATAATTGTACACTGTGTGAAAATGTATTGCTATGATTGGTGTAAGAAAAGAAAACAGTCAATAGCTAGGTAGGAGGTATAGGTGGGACATCTGGAAAAAAAGAGAGAAATTAGTAAGAAGAATCTAGGTATGAAAGAAGTGCCAGGAGAAACAGGAGATGTAAAACAAGTCAGATATACAGAAATGGAAAAGAGGTTAAAAAAACACGTGATAGAACATAGATTAATAGAAGCAGATTAATTTAGGTTATACAAGCTAGTTTGGGGGCAAGCCTAAGCTAAACTTAAGATTTCATAATTAATAAGAAATTTCCATATTGTTATTTGTGGAATGGTGGTCCCAAGGAAAAAGCACTATTACTGATGGTTATTTATTCACGTAGTGCTCTTTGTAACGTTCCTGACTTTTGTGGTGTTGAACTAGAGATTCCAGAACCTAAACCCAATTATTTGGTTTGAGAATACTCTAAAATCCTTGAAGCATGATTAAATTCCTCAAAATATCTGACATCAAATTTCAGAATATCAATAACTATCATGGGTCCACTAGTACACTCACACATGATACAATAATACAAGTGAGTTATTTTCAAATATTTTCCTTTTCTGTAAAAGAGGGCTAACAGGAAGAGTACATTTCTTGGAGCTGCAAGCATTCATTATGATTATGTAAGTAAGCCTAAGTATTATTGCTATTATTATAAGTATTATTGCTGTTATTACATTTAATTGAAACATCCTATTAAATACTTTTAATCTCTATTAAGCATTTAATCTTTGCTTTGCAGGTGAACAAAACAAGACCCAACAGGTATGTGTAAAGCATCCCAGCCTGTATTTAAATCTGCGCTGTTTGTTTCTAAGGACTATCTTCACCACAATTGTGATGCTTCATTGAAATGACCTTAAGTAGCATAGATAAGGAACGAGTTTGGGACAATTTCTCAAAGCTTTCTGTAATACAAACCAAACTTTCATTTTCTTCGGTTTTAATTTAAAGAAATATATTTGTAGCCAATGTGACTGATAATGGTTAACTCATTGCTAGTTGCTGGGTAATGTTATGCTATTCAATTTCAAAAATAATGCTTTCTATTTTGATAAAGGGCTGGTCTCAAAAGAACAACATGAAAGAATAAACCCTCACAGAAGCTATTTACGACACTAAAAGAAAACTTCACCAATTAGCAATTAAGAATTTCATTTATACACAAAAATAAAAAATCCTAGAAGGAAAATACATAAATTAAATGGACACATTTATACTGTGATAGTTGAAGTAAAGAAAAAAAAGACTAAGATTTCAATCAATTTTGATCATCAAATGTACTTACAGTGTCCTCAGAAACAGGATTCTGCTTCTCTGCTTGCCTACTTTGACCAGTGGGCAATTATTCCTTATATACAAAATTTCAATAATGGTGTGAATTGACTGTTCATTCTTTGATTAAATTATCATGTATCCTTCATACATGGACATCATCTGATATTAAAGTACAAACTTTAAAGTCAAATACTGCAGTTGAGTACACATACTATTAAGCCCTCATCGTTAACCTTTAACTAATGCAAGCATTGGTCAAAGAATTGTTGATTAGAAGTGATTTAGGAAACAATAAAAATGATGACTGATTAGAGATAGGCATAAGCTTACACATATAAAAGCAGTCAAACCTACCTTACAACACAAATGGTTCTGCAACTGGACTTAGTTTAAATGGCTTATGGTGGTAAAAGATTGGCCTCTTTGTGAAATAGGGTACCAGCTATTCTGACTGGATGGTTAGATAAGCCAACTTGCTCCACAGAGTTGAAGATTTTATAATGGTTGTTGGCCACTGTTTCTTGCCCTGGAACCAATATAAGAAATACAGCTCCTTATTGTTAAGAACATTTGAGTCGTGTCATGTAGCCTTTATGAAATTTACTGCTTAAAGTTTGAACAAAGTCTTTATGAAATTTTCTGATGAGAGTTTGGACAAAGATAATCCGTAATCTAACACTTAGCAAGCTCAACAATACAAGTAACTAGAAATATATTTGAATACATAAAGAAACATTGAGGATTATTAAATAGTAGAAGTATTTATTTCTTCATGCTAAGCTTCCACTTCCACTGTGCCCTGATTGCCACTGATAGCCACTAAATTTGTGAAGGTAAAGACAATACTTTATTATAGAGAACAAGTGGAAATGGAAAGCTCTACTGTTCTAAGATGATTTCAATTCTGTTCATTAGCAAATAGCAGATTTTATGTTTCTTCACCAACTTGCTTAAATAAAAGCAGGGAAACATGCAGTGTGTTCTTTTGGTCTGAGCTGTAATTGAAGAAAATTTGGTCTAAGAGTCTATGGACAAAAATACAAATTCTACTAGTTGTTGAAAATCTTTGCCAAGATTACAGTTTACAAGATTACAGCAAACAAATTCCCACTTTCTTTAACCTTAAATTCCCCAATAATCTGATTCTTTGGGGTAATTAGTGCAGCCATATAAGCTACTATAGCGGAATTTCATTTCCGATTTGCAGCATGCTGTTTCATAGCCCACTGTCCTCAAACCCTCTTTCCTCTTTCTTTTACCCCGGATTTCATCTTGGATTTCAGCTTTGTTGTCAATTTTTACAGGAAGACCATCCATCCATTGTTCTTTATCCATAAATATTGGTTTAAAGAATTGATTCCTACATTCCTGTAAGACTCTGTACTTATCTCTATTTAAGGACTATTTGAAAGGTTATTACAGCTATTCACTAGGACACACACATGCACACGCACATGCATACACACATTTCTGAAGTTCAAGAACTGCATTTAATTCA